GGCTCTTTCCACAGTTTGGTGACTGTGGCCATTGCTGCTATGAACATTAGGGTACAGATGGCCCTTCTTTTCACTACATCTGTATCTTTGTGGTAAATACCCAGTAGTGCAAATGCAGGGTCATAGGGTAGCTCTATTTTTAATTTCTTAAGGAGTCTCCACTCTGTTTCCCAAAGTGGCTGCACCAACTTGATTCCCACCAACAGTGGGGAAGAGTGTTCTCCATTCTCCACATCCTCTCCAACACTTGTTTACTGTCTTGCTAATTTTGGACATTCTAAGGGTAAGGTGGTATCTCAATGTAGTTTTGATTTGAATTTCCCTGATGGCTAATGATGATGAACATTTTTTTCATGTGTCTGTTAGCCATTTGTATGTCTTCTTTGGAGAAGTGTCTGTTCATGTCTTCTGCCCATTTTTTGATGTGATTATCTGTTTTGTTGAGTGTTGAGTTTGAGGAGTTCTTTATAGATCTTGGATATCAGCCCTTTGTCTGTAGTGTCACTTGCGAATATCTTCTCCCATTCCTGGTTGCCTCTTTGTTTTGTTGACTATTTCCTTTGTTGTGCAGAAGCTTTTGATCTTGATGAAGTCCCAAAAGTTCATTTTCACTTTTGTTTCCTTTGCCTTTGAGGACATGTCTTGAAAGAAGTTGCTGTGGCTGATGTCGAAGAGGTTACTGCCTATGTTCTCCTCTAGGATTTTGATAGATTCCTGCCTCACGTTGAGGTCTTTTATCCATTTCGAGTTTATCTTTGTGTATGATGTAGGAGAATGGTTGAGTTTCATTCTTTTATACATAGCTGTCCAATTTTCCCAACACCATTTATTGAAGAGACTTTTTTCCACTGTATATTTTCCCTGCTTTGTCGAAGATTATTTGACCATAACATTGTGGGTCCATATCTGGGCTCTCTACTCTGTTCCAGTGGTCTATGTGTCTGTTTTTGTGCCAGTACCATGCTGTCTTGGTAATCACAGCTTTGTAGTAAAGCTTGAAATCAGGCAGTATGATGCCCCCAGTTTTGGTTTTCTTTTTCAACATTTCCTTAGCAATTCAGGGTCTATTCTGGTTTCATATAAATTTTAGGATTGTTTGTTCTAGCTCTTTGAAAAGGACTGGTGGAATTTTGATCGGGGTGGCATTGAAAGTATAGATTGCTCTAGGCAGTATAGACATTTTAGCAATGTTTATTCTGATCCATGAGCATGGAATGCTCTTCTATCTTTTTGTGTCTTCTTCAGTTTCTTTCATAAGTGTTATGTAGTTCCCCAAATACAGATCCTTTACCTCTTTGGTTTGGTTTATTCCCAGGTATCTCATGATTCTTGGTGCTATAGTAAATGGAATCAATTCTCTAATTTCCCTTTCTATATTTTCATTGTTAGTGTATAAGAAAGCAACTTATTGATTTTGTATCCTGTCACATTACTGAATTGCTGTATGAGTTCTAGTAGTTTTGGGGTGGAGTCTTTTGGGTTTTCCATATAAAGTATCATGTCATCTGCAAAGAGGGAGAGTTTGACTCCTTCTTTGCCAATTTGAATACCTTTTATTTCTTTTTATTGTCTGATTGCTGTTGCTAGGACTTCTAGTACTATGTTGAACAACTGGTGAGAGTGGACATTCCTGTCATGTTTCTGATCTCAAAGGGAAGCCTGTCAGCTTTTCCCCATTGAGGATGATATTTACTGTGGGTTTTTCATAGATAGATTTTATGACGTTGAGGAATGTTGTTCTCTCTATCCCTATACCTTGAAGGGTTTTAACCAGGAACGGATGCTGTATCTTATCAAATGCTTTTTCTGCATCAATTGAGAGGACCATGTGTTTCTTCTGTCTTCTCTTATTGAATTGTTCTATCACATTGATTGATTTGTGAATGTTGAACCACCCTTGCATCCCATAGATAAATCCCACCTGGTCATGGTGGATAATCTTTTTAATGCACTGTTGGATCCTATTAGCTAGGATCTTGTTGAAAATCTTGGCATCTATATTCATCAGGAATATTGGTCTGAAACTCTCCTTTCTGGTGGGGTCTTTGATTCATAAAAAGAATCTGGAAGTCTTCCTTCAGTTTCTATTTTTTGCAACAGCTTCAGGAGAATAGGTATTAGTTCTTCTTTGAATGTTTGGTAGAATTCTCCGGGGAACCATCAGGTCCTGGGCTCTGGTTCTTTGGGAGGTTTTTGATCACTGCTTCAATCTCATTACTAGATATTGGTCTATTCAGGTTGTCAGTTTCTTCCTGATTCAGTTTTGGAAGTTTATAGGTTTCCATGAATGCATCCGTTTCGTCTAGGTTGCTTAACTTATTGACATATAACTGTTGATAATAATTTCTGATGATTGTTTCTGTTTCCTTGGTGTTAGTCGTAATCTCTCCCTTTTCATTCATAATTTTATTAATTTGGGTCATTTCTCCTTTCTTTTGGATTAGTTTGGCCAATGGTTTATCAATCTTATTGATTCTTTCAAAAAACCAGCTTCTAGTTTTATTGATGTGTTCGATTGTATCCCTAGTTTCTATCTCATTGATCTCGAGTCTAATCTTATTTTCCTTCTTGTGTGTGGGGTTGGCTTAATTTGTTGTTGATTCTCTAGTTCTTTAAGGTGTAAAGAGAGCTGGTATATTCTGGATTTTTCAATTTTTTTGAGAGAGGCTTGGGTGACTATGTATTTCCTCCTTAGGACCAACTGTGCTGTATCCCATAGGTTTTGGACCGAAGTGTCTTCATTCTCATTGGTTTCCATGAATTGTTTAAGTTTTTCTTTGATTTTCCAGTTAATCCAAACATTTTTTAGCTGGGTGGTCTTTAGCTTCCAAGTGTTTGAATTCCTTCCAGACTTTTTCTTGTGGTTGAGTTCCAGTTTCAAAGCATTGTGGTCTGAGAATATGCAGAGAATAATCTTAATCTTTTGGTATCGGTTGAGCCCTGTTTTGTGACCAAGTATGTGGTCTCTTCTGGAGAAAGTTCCATGTGTGCTAAAAAAGAATGAGTATTCTGTTGTTTTAGGGTGGAATGTTCTGTATATATCTATGAGGTCCATCTGGTCCAATGCACCATTAAATGCTCTTGTTTCTTTATTGATTTTCTGCTTGGATGATCTATTACTGAGAGTGGCATGTTAAGATTCCCTACTATTAATGTATTCATATCAATATGACTCTTTTTACTTCTTTTTTTTTAAAGATTTTATTTATTTATTTGACAGAGATCACAAGCAGGCAGAGAGGGAAGCAGAGAGAGAGAGGGGGAAGCAGGCTCCCTGCTGAGCAGAAAGCCTGATGTGGGGCTCGATCCAAGGACCCTGGGATTATGACCTGAGCTGAAGGCAGAGGCTTTAACCCACTGAGCCACCCAGGTGCCCCAATATGACTCTTTGTCTTGATTAACAGTTGGCTTATATAGTTGGCTTCTCCCCTATTGGGGGAATGAATATTTACAATTGTTAGATGTTCTTGGTAGATAGACCCTTTAAGAATGATGTAATGTCCTTCTATATCTCTGACTACAGTCTTTAGTTCAAAATCTAATTTGAACTATGAAAGATGCTTCTTCATCCCTTCACTTTCAGTCTGGATATATCTTTAGGTTCCAAATGGGTCTCTTGTAGACAGCATATGGATGGGTCCTGTCGTTTTATCCAATCTGCTACCCTGTGTCATTTTATGGGAACATTTAAACCCTTGAACACATTTCTCATAGCTATTTTAAAGTTTTCATTTGTTAAAGTTTTTCATTTTGTTTTATTGCTAACTCCAACATCTATGTCATTATTTCTATTGACCTTTTTCTCAAATTATGTTCATATTTTTGGCCTCTTCACATATCAAACTGATTGTGTGCTGCACATAGTACAAGCTACATTGCTAAGAGTCAAGATTATGCTCTCTTCATTGAAAGAGTTTTTAATTTTGCTCTAGTAAGTGGTTTATTAACAGCTTAGTTTAATCCTCTCAAGACTTTGTTCTAAGCTTTCTTAAATTGGGTCTAGAGCTTCCATTACTCTAGGGTTAGCATTGTACTAGCTTAAAGAATAGCTTTTGTTGAGTCTCACTTGATGCCCTGTGTTTTCATTAAATTTTCATACTTTGGCAGAACTTTAATGTCTTTCAACACTGTACAAATTCAGAATCTCCATTAAGCTCACAATCTCCTGGGAGTTGTCTGCCAGGCACCATTAGATATTTGTACAAATCAAGTTTAGAATTCAGTTAAAGACCCAAGTGGACACGCTATGTGTATTTCTGGGTGCCATACTCCGCCCCCCTCCGTACCCTGCCTCACAAATTTTAGTTGTCTCAGGAGCCTCAAACTATAATCTTGCTTCCTGAACCTGACAATACTGCTGTTGACTGCTTGGACTCTGCTTCTCTGTGCCACAGTCAAGAAGGCGCTCACAGGCAGAAATCTGCAATTTTTATTTTTTCATGGCTTTGAGTAAATCCAATGCCCATTATTTTGTTATGGCTAGAACTGGACTTTCTCTGTGATTTACTTATGTTCTCTCAGTGTATGTTTGATCAATTAATTACACTGGGCACATTTCTATTTTTATCCCTCCAAATGGTAGTTCTATTATCTTTTAATTACAAAAAAATGAATAGAGAAAAAATAAAATGGGAGTCTTACATAAGTGTAATAACACACACACACACACTGAAGAAGTCAGAATGTATGTTATTAGTTTAGTGTCATTCAAGTGACACAAAATGAATGAAAAATTGTGGAATTGTTGTACATTCTTTTAGCAATCAGTGGTTACTCAGAATATGCATTGCTCTATGCAAGTCACAGGCTATTATATAAGTTTCTTTAAGACTGGAATATCTCCCAAGAGCCAGTGATATTGCTTTTTATTTCATTAAAAGAAAACAAATTGACCTGTTCCTTTGAGTGTCTTATAAAAGGATATACCTAAAGAACACAGTCAGTCATAACTATGCATTTCACAGATTTTAACTTAAGTGTAATAAATCTCTCCTTTTCAGCTAGCAAACAAGTTCTTTTAATGCACTCTGCATCCAAGAAGGAGCAAGAATGGTACAGCAAAAAGAAATCTACCCAGGGAAGTCAGAAATCCTATAAGGGCAGACCTGCAAGTGCAATCGTAGACCCTGGGCAGCCCATTCTGGAGGAGGAAGTTGTCAGTATGCCCACCATAGAAGAAAATGCTAGCACTGCACAGCAGGTATAGTTATGTTTAAGAGAATCCTTTGGTGATTCTCTTACCATTTAGGAATAATATGGTATTACTCCTAAAAATCTAACAAATATAATGATGATTCCTTTCCTAACCATTATCAATACGTATATGATATTTTCTATCTTCATTGCCTCCAGTGTATAACAGAATCAAGAGATTGAACATTATTTAATGGTTTCTCTGTGCCAAGATATTAAAATAAATAGCAAGTTTAGTGTGTATACTAACTCTATAATGCAGATGTAAATATCTAATGTTACATGAGTTATGAGGCTCTCTAATTATGAAAAAAGGTCACATATTAATAAAAACTAATTTTTATATATCTTAAGTTAAAAACATATATATGTATATGTAAAATAAAGGGCAATTCATGTAATTTCAGAAAAAAATGATGTATCCATCAGAAACAAAACAAATAAATAAATAAAAAGAAATAAAAATAAGAGGCTAGAAGTAAATCCTAATATAGCTAATGACAATAAACACAAATGAAATATTAATCAAGTAAAAGAATAAAAAATTAAAGTTAGATTAAAAAGTAAGATTCAACTATAAGTAGCCTAAAAGTGACACTTTTTTAAACAAAATGGCACTGAAAATTCAAAGTTGGACCGAGAGAACTGTGATAATATATTAACATCTCAGGGCATAGAATTCATGAAGGATATTGTGTAAAAATAAAAGGAAGAATATAACAAACAAATATGATCATAACTAATACAGCATAACCTAACTGTCCAGACTCAATGAATAAAAAGTAAAAGTTGTTTAGAATTACAGAGAAAAATAAAGTTAGTTAATAGTTGCAAACTTTAATAAACAACTCTCAGAAACCAATAGATTGAGCTGAAAAAATACATATGATTACTAGGATTTGAAAAATTTAAGTATTTATTGTTTAGATATTTATATAGAACACTTACCTACTAAATTGAGAATATACTTTTTCATAGTACACATGTGAAGCCTCAATAAAAACCAAACTATATTTTATAGATGTTATCCGAATATAGTGCAATAATACAGAAATTAGTAAATAACAACTTAAAATCCCATAAATGTGGAAGCAAAAGAGAATATGCTAAATAGTTCTTCAGTTACAAAGAAGAGCAAAAAAAGAAATGAATACTAAGAACTCAGTAACAACTAAAAAATACAAATCAAAATTTATAATGACATCTAAAATAGCATTCAGTAGAATGTTGACTTTCAAATTAATCCATCAGAAAGTATGAATGGTTAAAAACAAATGAGCTAAACTGTCAAAACAAAAATTTAGAAAAAGAGCAAAAGAATAACTCAAAGAAAAAAGAAGAAAACGTTTTAATAAAAGTGAGGTAGAAATTAGTAAAACAAAGAACAAAATTTAGCAAGATGCATTAGCTCTAAGTTTTTTTTTTAAAGAATTTTTTTTAAAGATTTTATTTATTTGACACACAGAGAGAGATCACAAGTAGGCAGAGAGAGAGGCGGAAGCAGGCTCCTTGCTGAGCAGAAAGCCCGATGCAGGGCTCAGTCCCAGGGCCCTGAGATCATGACCTGAGCCAAAGGCAGAGACTTAACCCACTGAGCCACCCAGGCGCCCTAACTCTAAGCTTTTTTAAGATGATTAAGTGGGCAGGCTTCTTGTAAGACCAGCTAAGCAAGAAAAAAAAAAAAAAAAAGAAAGAAAGAAAATGTAAATAAATCAAATACAGAACAACAAAAATAGAGTGGAGATATAAATGCAATCAACAGATTAAAAAAAAAATTAACTATTAAGCACAACTCTATGCTAGTGAATTTAGGACTTAAGGGAAAAAAGACATAACAAATGCCTGGGGTGGGAGAGGACTGGCAAACTACTTTAGGAGAAGATAGAAAATATAAAATAATAATAATAATAGTAAAGAATAATAACATTGAAATGATAATCAGAGTTTTACCTTTCCAAAAGTCATAGGCCCAGCTTGCTTCACAGAATAGATCTAACAGACTTTCAAGGAGTAAGTTGTTCTAGAAAACAGAAAAACAACACAAACTTTTCAATTCTTTTAAAGAGATTACCATAATCCTGATTCCCAAACCGACAAGGAACAAAAATAAAATGAATGAGTTTCATTTTTAAACAGGGATGCAAAAATTATAAACACTAGACTATACAATTGCAGGTGTGGGTGGGGATGTGAGGATAAATTTTATAGACTGTGATACTACAAAATTTTGGAGAACATCGGATAGTATTTGACCAAATTATGATTATGTGATATAGAAAATTATGCACTTACTATGTGCTTATTAGGCATATGCTATATTTACTCTTATTGTTTGTGTTTAAACATCACGTTTTATTTCACAGGTTAACAAGTACATTATACAGTGTTTGGTATTGTACAACAGTTGGCCTCTCACTGAAAGTCAGCAGACATTTGTTCAAGCATTGAAAGAATTGGAAAAAAGTGATAGCAAAGGTATGCCCTCCTAAATGTTAGTCATATACCTTGTATTTTATATAAATATTTAATAGTAAATTAATCATGTAATTATTAAAACATTATTGTTTACAATTTGCATTTCATATCCAGTGGCATTTTCTGGTTTATTAATTGATTATGTCTCAAAATCTTTACTGCCTGGTTAGTAAGAACTAAAAATATATGATTATTTAGGCCTAGTTTAAATGTGTTTAGTTCAGTTAGTAAAAATTACTTGATGATTATCTAAGAAGTGTACAGAAGACTTTTCTGTTATAAAATTATATGTGTCTAAGTTGTTGAGATAGTATAACCCTAAAGGTTAGTTCTTAAAATATTTAAGAGAAGGAGAATGTCCAAGTGAAAAAGGATTCAGGTTTATTTTTTCAAATATAAGCTACTCTCAAAATTCCTGAGCAGGGAGTTTGATGCATTAGAAAAAGATATTCACAAGTGGACCCACGTAGTTCAAACCCATATTGCTCGGATCGCCTTGGTGTCTCAGTTGGTTAAGGGTCTGCCTTCAACTCAGGTCATCCGGCTCCTTCTCATTAGGGAGCCTGCTTTTCCCTCTGGCTGTGCTCCCCCTGCTTGTGTGATCTCTTTCTCTGACAAATAAATAAATAAAATCTTTAAAAAAAACCCCAAAAACAAAATCCATATTGTTCAAGGGTGAACAGTATTTGAGAACACAATGTCTTTGAGGTCAGGGAGTTCCATGGATTATTACCTGTTCAATCCTGCATTATCCATTGTGCAGACAATGCACACAGTAATCACTCCATGATATTTGTCAAGTAAGTGAAAGAAAGGATACATCTAAGCTACTCTTATTATTGTTATTGACATTATTTACTAATTGTCAAAAACCCTGTTCACACATTTGCTTGCTTATACTAACTGCATGAACCTGTTCATTTAAAGGCTTGATAGAGGTTTATCACCAAAGTTAAGAGAAAGCTATTATTACTGAACTAAATCTTTGTAAGAAGGGACCAATTCTAGGGCAGGACATCAAAGCCAAAGAAAATTTATAAAGCTAATGACACTGAGAGTCCCCATTTCCTTTCCACTGTATTGTGTGCATCCACAGAACATGCATTCTACGGGAATCTTGAACTTGTCTGCCTCCCCACTGCCCGCCTCGTGCTGGGAAAGGGACTCTGCCTCAGCCTCATCATTGCACCTCTAGAACCAGGTAGAAGCTGTTAGTAAATGTTTGTTGAATAATGCATGAGCGTGCAATGCTAGGAACAGCAGGAGTATTTCACTTCTAATGGCATCCCGGCCTGGGGTCTTGAAAGGATTCTGGTCTGTTTTGGGATCAGCGAGAAAGAGTTGTGACCTTTTGTCGGTGTCTAGCATGGACACATGTAGAGAAAGTGGTGAGACCAGAACCACATTGTTGCCACCTCTTTGCTATTCATATGTGTTGTGTGTTTCACCCACGCCAAGTGCCCTGGAGCTCAGAATTTATTTCTTGAACCAGGGGCTGAGTTACTGCTTAGCAGTGATGTACATAAAATCCCCTAAGGCAGATATCCTTTCCCACATCCCCTAGGTAAATTCATAGAATGTGAGTTTTGTTGAAACATTTCTTCCTTCTGCCTCTACCTCTCCTCCAAGAAGCAATACCCCCACTGCCCAGCACCACTGAGAATATCTGGAATAGAGAGCAGATAAGACTTCAATTTAGAATTCTTGTTTACCAGAAAAGACTGCAATTATGATATGAATAAATGGCATATGGAAGCTGAAAAGCCCCTTAAATTAATTATTATCTCCATTTTCTCTATAGTCCAAATCAAAATCTCATAGTTTGTACTGTGCTAAAAAAAAAAAAAAATCTAGATATTTTTCCAATATAAATCAACAGAAATCTGCTTGAAATAACAGATAGTGCAAATTACTGGGTGATTTTGTGTCCCCCCTCCTAGAAAGAAGTAAATAGTATCTGCTTAATATGAATTGGATTAAATATTTTATGCTAAAGATTTATGTGCAAATAAAATACTCATAATTATAAAAATAAATCAAAATAATAGAGAAGCAGCACTGTTTTATGTGAGCATGTGTGTATGATGTGTGTTCTGCAAAGATATTATTTCTTTTTTTGTTTTTCAAGGAAAATGTATAGTACTACTAGATTTTACATTACTGTTCAGGGTATCAGGGACTTTAATAGATCAGAGAGTGAGAATCAAATCCTAGGTTTTTGTTTTTGTTTTGTTTTTGTTTTGCCTGTGTGGGCTCTTTCATGAGTTGTATGTAGCTCTTTATACTTCTGATTTCTATATTTGAATATTCTGTTATGCCTGTTTTGACAAGCTCAAAATAGTCATGTTAACTATTGTTTATAGCAATGATCGGTGTGAACTCACACCCACATGACAGGGAATAAATAATCCCAGTTTAAATCATGAAAAGGAAACAACAGAAACAATATTTCTAAATCCAGGTGGGGATCCTGTTCATGGGGAACACCTGTTTCTGAATAATGTTCCAGCAAGATAGAAGAATGCACACTGATAAAGGAGGTATTTGTGAAAACATTTAAGCCATTCAGGAAATGAATAATGCTGTTAGAATAGTGAATGAGGTGTTTTCTTGCCAACTCTCCAAGGTGAACTTCTAATGTCTAAAAAGGTGCCAAATACCTTCAAATACGCTCAAGTCTAGTCAAATGCAGGTTTAAAAATTTCTGTGTGTATTTTCTTCAATAATTAGAAATTTGTTCCCAGTATATGGAAGTTTTGTGAATTATGTAGATGTACGTAAATCTTTAGAAAAAGAAGAAATGACACTTTGAAGTGAAGACGAGTGTGTGTGGAGGAGTGGGGTTTGAATAGTTTGTATGATGAAGTCCTGAAGAATACCAAGCAGGGGAAGTGAACTTTGGAAGTGAAAGTGACGAGAAGACTGTGTCTCAAAAGATATGTGGGAGCCTATTTTGGACACACCTGACTGACAGGACCTCCTACCAGGTGTAAGGTGTGGAGGGAGAGAGACTAATTCCTGTCAGAGGAATATGCAGAACAGAGCGACCAGGAAAGCCCTATGCACGTGTCCCACTCTTCAAGGCCATTCCCCTTTTCACCTAGGTCAGGAAGGATGGGGAAGAAAGAACCAGAAATGCTTTCCTGTGCTTAGCTCACAGAAATTCTTTATTGTTAATATGAACAGTTCATCTACTATTAGACATCGGTGACCCTACATTGCCATTACTCTTCAAAAATATATGAGTGGGTCCCAGAGCAAAAGGGAAAAAAAAAGTAGAGTATATATCAATATGTTGAAACAATTATGTCTCATTTATATGAATAGTATCTAAGGGCAAAATTTAATTTAAAGTAAAAAATTTATAAATCAGGAGTTTTAAATGAGCACCTACTATTTTAGTCAAAATGAAGCAAAACAAACTGAAAAGAATATAATTGTATTTTGTAAGCAAAAAGAAAACACTGGAGAGCTCTAGAATTTTGATTATTATGATTATGATTTTGTTTTTAGTGCCATTATGGGCTTCTTATTGTACTGTGTCTTTTTCATATATTATCCTCAATTCTCATGAAAAAGTCTGAGAGATAATTATTACTATCTTGATTTTACACATGAGAAAATGAAGTTTAGATGCTGTAAATAATTTGCCTACATTTACACAGCTGGAAGAAGCAGAGTAAAGAGTTTTACCTACATCTGACTTACTCAAAAGCCCAGAACCTTTCCACTCTACCATTTTGTCCTTTAAAGACAAATGCTAGTAGCATTGACACAGTACTAATGCTCATAGAGGTTATAGTGGGTAACATTTATGTCAGAAGCCTTGTGAAGGTTTTATGTGGAATTGATATAGGAATTGTCAATTGATAAACCTATGAGGTGGATGCTGTAACTGCTATCATTTTATACACGACAACACTGAAGCACACACTGTTCATGAAACTTGCCCATGGTCACACAGATAGTTATTGGCACAGCTGTGATTTTGAATGGGAGTTAATTATCTATTAAGGGTGTCTGGGTGGAAAAAATAATAATACATGATAGTACCAATTTCAAGCCTTTATTGTGTCCTCAATAAGTGTCTTTATTTAGGGAACTTTATTTAGGGAACTTTATTTAGGAATATTCTTTATTGAACATACAAGTTTGCATAAAGGGTCTTACCATGTTTTCCCTGAAGATCTAATAAGTTTCTCACCTTAAGTTGTTCAACACAAATGGAGTTCCGTAAACAAACTAATATGATAAACAATCATATTTAATACATTTAGGAATATTAATGGATAAATGTTAAAATTCCAGAGGAAACTAAAAAATTAATATCTGAAATAAACAGTAGTATAATTCATGAAATAGTATAAAGTATAGAGTTGGGTAATGTTACAAAATTATAAATATATAAATTATAAAATATAAGTTTTTTGTAAGTTAACATTTATTAGACTTATGGTGGTGATCATTTTGCAACACGTACAAATATCCAATTATTAAGTTGTCTACCTGAAACTAATAGTGTTTTATGTCAATCATACCTCAATAAAAAATAAAAATAAGAAAAGAAGGAAAAGAAAAGGATGTTACTGTTAAGTGGAGAAATACAGCATAGCAGCAAAAATTCCTTAGACTACCTAAACCTCAGTTATTTATCACCTGAGAAATTAGAATAATAACTCCTATCTTTCAAAGTTGTCATAAAGTTTCAAGAAAATGTATGTAATGTTTCTAGAACCAAGTAGCCCTCACAAAAATGGTATTCTCATTATTAGGTACCTAACTAGAAAAGAAGTCTCTGGGAATAATTGCATCTTCTTTTTTGGACATAACATTTGACAATTTTGTGTGAATGAGCAGCTACCAAAATTAAATTACAATGTTGCATTGTATCATACATTTGCTGCTGAAAGCAGCCAGCAGATAAATTCAGAATTGAATTGTATTATGAACTAGGAAATTTTTTTCTCTTATAAAAGCATATGTTGGTTAATCTTATGAAAGTCAAGCGGCTTTTGAATTCAGAATAATCAGTATCACATTTATAAATGTGAATTTTTAGGCAGCCAGCTTGTTTAAATGAAAACATATCAATGTCAACTTACATGTGTCAATTATATTTACAATTTAAAACCTAGAAACTTCAATTTTAAGGGTATGATGTATTTTTTAAAAGATTTTTTAATTTTTTTGAGAGTGAGAGAGCACAAGCTGGGGAGTGGGGTGGAGAGGCAAAGAAAGAAGCAGACTCCACACTGAGCAGGGAGCCTGATGTGGGGCTGGATCCCAGAATCCTGGGATCATGACCTGAGCTGAAGGCAGCAGCTTAACAGCTAAGCCACCCAGACATCCGGGTATGATGTATTTTAGAAAAATCATGACTAATACCTTCGATCTTTTAAAAAAGGTTATTTATTTATTTATTTTAGAGAGGGAGAGTGGGCAAGAAAGAGAGCATAAGCTAGGAAGGGATGGGGAGGCAGAGGCAGAGGGCTCAATCCCAGGATCCAGGGATCACCACCCAAGCTGAAGGCAGATGCTTAACTATACTGAGCCACCTAGGCACCCCTAATGTCTTCACTTATTAACTTAGCTTACTTTTTCAATTATAAATACTTTAGATCAAATAGAAATTAATCAAATTTTTTTCGTTAGTGTATTGGTACCCTAATTTAAAATTTTATGTATATCCTGAATTCAGTGGAAATATCACATTTACTCATTTAAATTTAACATTTAATTTCTATGAGAAAGAAAATACTTAATTTTTTCTAAAAATTCACATTTTTATAACTCACAATAAAAAAGTAAGGCCCAAAATATAACTGCATTCAACTCAGAATATTTCTGTTATAAATGTTTAGGAAGCTTGTCCTCTGGTTAACATGAGACAACAGCGCCACCTTTAGTGTATTTTAATACCTAATTTTTAGTAAAAATTGCTTGCTGAGACAGGTGACTTTTTCTTAAGGAAATAGAAATTGGAGGATCTAGAGCAGGTAATACTTTGTGATACCAACTACCACATACATAGTTAATTGTGTTGTTATTTTAATGTCTTTTTGCCAATATGTTACATTTTTATGTTACTGGTCTGGGCCTTTCAGGTTCTAGTCTATTTGTAAAGTCACATATGTACTTTGTTTGTCATTCTCAAAATCTTTGTTTTCAAGTCCTACCCAATTTTATTAGCATGACTATAACACTATTTTCTTATATGCATGGTGTTTCCAATTCATGGTCTTTGAAGAAACCAAACATGATGAGATTATCATCTATCTATCTTTTATCTGTCTATCTATCTATCTATCTATCTATCCCTCGTCTAAAGATTTTCCTGTTTACATTTACCAAGTACAATCACACTTGGAAAATGTATACCTTATCCTGAGCAACTATTCTAGTTTAGAAATTATGATAATGTTCTAATCCCATTTAGTTTTTAGTTCCCGGATACATAAATCTGAATTTTAATCATAAAAATCTGTCTCTGTAACTTTTATGTCTTATTATCCACTGAAGATTTCAGTCTCCTGTATTCTGGATAAATGTAAGGTAACATAAGAGGAAAACTATTACGACTAAAGTCATAAAGCTAAAGGTCTTTTCAAGTTCATTTCCTCAACAGATACTGCCTGAGCATTTCTTCTCTGCAAGGGGTATATTAATTTATGTCAATGGTTATTTACTCTAGAACCCCTCTAATTATATGAATATGCAATGCGAGGTCACATTTTTCACAGGTTTTGAATTAGTAGGATATTTATTCTTATACTCTACCGATACCTTACTGCTCTCAACACATACAGTTTCCCTAAAAAGCTTCACATACTGAAGTTAAACAATCTGATCACAAATACATACTATGAATTCAGAATTATACTAGGTGAGATTAAGAATCAAAATGAGGTGTATAATGACATTCTGGCCTCTAGAGAACTTGCAATGCATGGGAGAGAAGGTTACTATACTGTATGCCATTAAAGAATAAGGAAATTATTTTATTTTATATATTCATAATGTAAAGAAAGAAGATGATGTGCCCCTGGCACCACACTATGTGCTCACATATGTAAACTTGAATATTAGAATATGTTAATTTGAAGGGAATCAAATACACCTACATATATGATTCAAACTCTAAGACCTATGGATAGTGAGAAAAAGAGAGCCCAGAAATACTTATTGGGGCTGTTTGAGATTCAATTTCAGCTCACATTTGTTAATATCTTAAAACCCAGTGTGTATGATACCAGGTACAATCCTATTTTAAATGACCTATATAGTTTATTTGTAAACCCCATGGGCATGGTATTGACATCTCCATTATACAGAGGAAAAAACAAAATCAAAAGAATGTAATACCTCTGCCAAAGTGAACCTATTTAGTGGCTGATTCAAGATTCACCTCCAAGTCATTTGATTACATGACCAAAGATTTTCCCTAGTACAACAGTTCACAGCAACTGGGATTGTTGACAGAAAGACAAGTTGCCCCCTTGTAAAACTGTGGTACTTATAGTCCCTTTGCAGTCATGCAGGATAATCTGCCCTAATTTGAAAGTAGCTAAGAACTGGCACGAAGCCATTCTTGATAATTACTATTTAACTTTGCTAATGGGATGACTTACAGACTCCAGTTTTGAAAGGGGCTAACATGTCCTTTGAACTCATCCTTGAATGCTAACTCAACCCCAACAGCTGGGGGAATGTAAGCAAATTTTTGCTTCTGCTCTGTTGGGGTGCTTTGAGAATTAAAAAAAAAAAAAGAAGAAACATAGTAAGGATTCAACAAATGTTATCTGTTCCTCTGCCACTGGATATGTAGAAAGAATGACTAGAACATAATGCAAAAAGCCCTCACATCCTCCTTTGAGGAAGCAGAGGGAAGAGAATAATACATATGATACCAGAGATGAACACATTCAGTACTGTGGTGGAGATCCTGGCCAAGGAAATTAGGTGAGAAAATGTACTGAAAGCATTCAGATTGGAAACACATTAGATAGTGATAATTTTTGCCTAATCTTACAAATATGTCAAAACCTACTGATTTCTCCACTTCAGTGGTGTATGGTATGTGAATTATCTCTCAATTTTGTAAGAGAGTCACACAGATCTTTATAAAATATTTCTTTAAAAAAGAAAGGAAATCCAAACCTCTTCAACTAACAACATTTTACTGACTTGCTCCCCTTTTCCTGCATGACATGATTTTATTGTTGTGATTCACTGGTTTCCATTTTTATGTCCTCTAGCTCATGGAGAGAAACATGAGGAATTAGTTACCTTGGGAAGCCCAGATTCCCATACTATTAGTGAGGGGCAGAAATCTTCAGGAACTTCTAAAATAAGGAAAGGCAAGGAAAAGTCTTCAGAGAAAGACAAGACAGCCAGAGAAAAACAAGTCCCTCGCTTTGAGCCTCAGGTGGGTGTGCTACTTTTTCTCATTGGAGTCATTTAATAAATGTATGTCCATTGATTCCCCACTTGTCTATCTCTCCCAAGGACAAAACTGAAAAATTCCACCTCCTTGATTCTAGCAACCATCTAGATAACCTTAAGGACATTCCTTGGACACCTTTTGCAAGCTGCTTTTCCCAGTTCAGTATAAAAAATCATTAATCAAACTTTTAAGACATGTATGTCTATAAGACACTGTTTTGGGGCCTTGGGTTTCTAATATTAATATTATACAGTCCCTATCTTCAAAGAATTTGCAGTCTAATGAAGGCGGCTGAAGGTAAACAAAGTTTTAATGTTAAATATTGCATGTGAAGTGGTAGGAGGAAGAGTATTTATTCTAGCCTCTTTCTCCTGGAGGAGCCAAATCCAGACCTGAGTCAATGAGCAAAGATATTCTAAGGTGAAAATGAGCACAATCTCTGTGTTTTGTTTTTCTGGTTTTGTTTTGTTTTGTTTTTTCTTTTTCCGGCACTGAAGAATGAGAGATGGGGCTGGAGAGATAAATGAGAGTCAGAAAGAGAAAGGCCTTTAAGCCTCATTAAGAGGCTGGGATTCTGTTTATAGCCCAGAGGTCATTCCTTCTAAATTCCTTCAGGGCCAGTTAGGTAATTGCAATGATAGGGGTAAAGAAGAGGATGTGGGGGCAGAGTTGAGGAGTGTGAGTATAGGCCTCAAGATACTCAAATTTAGGTTATTTAAAAACACTGAACTCAAAATACCTATGAGGATAAAATCTTCCCAACATTTGTCATCACTGTTTAGGCTCAGCAAGCTGGGGGTGGGTTGGGAGACAGGAGGTTAAAAAAACTTATTGACACGATCAGATTTATATTTCAGATATGCTGGTGGCTTTTAAAGGTATACATTTAAGGGGGGAAAGACTAGGGATGGGGAGAATAACTCAAGAAAGTACTGCAGTAGTCTAGGCAAAAGAGGGCAAGTTGTATCAGGTACAGGTAAGAAAGGAAGAAGACAAAAAAGAACTATCAAGGAAACAAATAGTTTATGTAGTTATTAATCCCAAATGGGTGATAAGGAACAAGAAAAAATAAAAGATATCTCTCAGGTTTACAGCTGAATCAACTGAACAGGATGTTGGTACGACTAGTATAGGACTTTAAAGGGAAATTAACAAATTAGGGGAAGAGGCAGTGATCATGTCCTACAATTCAGTAGTAGAAAAGCTGTCCACCTGCATTGCCAAGTTTGTCTGTCTATCTGTCTTTCTTTCTTTTTCTTTCTAGATTTTATTTATTTATATGCTAGAGAGAGTGCATGTGAATATATGTGTGGGGAGGAGGGACAGAAGGAGAAAGAGTCCTGAGCAGACTCTATGCTGAGTGCAGAGCCCGATGCTGGGCTCCTTTTCATGACCCTGAGATAAGGCCTGAGCTGAAACCAAGAGTTGGATGCTTAACAGACTGAGCCACTCTGGTGCCCCACCAAAGTTTAATTTCCTAGTTGGAGTCTGCCTTTGGAAACATGGTGAAATAAAGAAGCTTAACCTGACCTCTGCTGAGAGTAGAATGGAACTGATAGTGGGGGTGGGGGGGAGGGTAACCCCTTGGGTGGGGCTCTTCCCTTGTGTTGGAATTCAGCTGGCGCAGGCTGACCTAGTCAATGTCAGTGCTGGCAAGAGGCAAGTTGCCAAGGCTGCAGAAGTTGCAACCTGCATCCCATGAAACAGGAAGTCTTGGAAGGAGAGAAACAGCTGCATTTTTTGTGCTCACCCAAAGATTATTGGAGGATAAGTCACATCCGTCTACAAAGAGGTTTTCATACAAGCAAAATAAGATGTAAATGAACCAAAAGAGAAGCAGATTCTATGGTAAATCCTGTTATTCTTCGAACACCCATAGTTTACATATTGAAATTTTAAAACTTAGGACTTCATCTCCCAAAGGACTTATAAAAGTGATCATCCCTATGTCCTATTTTTATTTACTTATTTTTTTTTTTTTTGGTAAAGATTTATTTACTTATTTGAGAGAGAGAGAGCACAAGTCAGGGGAAGGACAGTGAGAGAAGAAGAGGGAGAGAATCTCCAGCAGATGCACACAGAGCCCCATATAAGACTCAGTCTCAGGACACTGAGGTCATGACCGGAGCTGAAATCAAAAGTTGGATGCTTAACTGACTGAGCCACACAAATGTCCTATTTTTAAAAATACTTTGAAATTTGTTTTGAAGGTTGTTTTTATCTGTCAGAATGTAATGATTTCACATTTAGCTCAAGGTAAAGCAAGTTTAAGATTATTTAAAAAAAAATCAGTTAGTGGCTGGTTAAAACAGAAAAACATTAAACAAACCATCAAATCTCTGAAGAAATACAGTGTTCAATCAGCAAAAAATACTCTGGGGGGATGTCATGTGAATGAAGACAAAGATAGGCAAAGTAAAGCCTTTTATTATACAAATAGTATTACCATAAAATTTGAAGAGTCATTCCAATTTCTATCAAACCATATTAATTCAAACTTCAGGTGTAAGGGAAAAAATTCCTTATAAAAGGAAAATAAACATTTCCAGGATAAATCAGGAATTAAAGATAAACACATTGAAGAAGAAAAATCCAGTTCCCCAGGTCCTAGCATCCTGACTGACAGAAGTTGTGCTCATATTTTCTTTATACCCTATGGACAAGCCTGCAAGCCCCACTGGGACAGCTGAGATTCTTCCAGTTTCAACTAAACAAAGTACTGCTAAACTTACTTTCTTATCCCATTGAAGGTGTACAAGCCTAATAGCCAGTTATACTGGTGGGCTTCTCTCCAGATCAAAGTACGATTGAATCAGAAGAATAAAAACAGGTGATCAAAGCTGAGCAGACTATGGCAAAAACAAACAAGCAAAGGAGAGAAAGAATTTATCTCTTCAGCAAGAAAAGAATACAAGGGTGAATATTAATCACAGAACCTGAGCTTTAGTTCAAACATTAAGAACAGCAGACCCAAAGCTTTGCATTAATAGGATTGAAGAACTAACTCTTTATCTGCTGGAATGTCTTGAGGGAAAAGAAGAGGATTTTGTGGAAAGAGTTAATTTATATTTATTACAACTGATATAAGAATGGTGCTCTTCAGGCCTTAATTGGCTTCATGAAGCCAATGAAAAGAAGAGGTATCCAAATTCTCACAGCTGATGGCAGAGGAGCAAGGTGATGTGGTTGCTCTTCAGATACTTTGAAAATTAGTTGAAATTACTTAGAACCCATTTCCTCAGCATCTTGACTGCATTGTAGGTATAAGTACAGGGCCATATGAGCTTGCATATTTGGGTTGTTTCATAGGGCCCTGGATGAATGTGAGGAACTTTATAAAAAATTAACATCACATATGTTTTTATAAAATGTCATTGTTAAAGCAGTCAAAATGAGTTGGAGCCAGGCGTTTTATGAGTCAAACATGGGGAAGTACTCTTAAGGTTAGAATGGGATATGAACTAATGACTGAATGAGTAAGAAGTCCCAGCTGTGTTGTGGTAGCTGCAGTAAGTACCATGAAAAACAGGGGAGGAATGCCAAAAGCTTTTGTGTTCAAAAACTATGGTCATTTCCCAGGAGTCAAGTCTCACTATTTGGGAAACTGTCCGTATAAAATGTGGAAGGACATTTGAGCCTCATCTGCTACTCTAGGCTACTTTGCAGAGTGTACATTTGATGAAACGATCTTCATCAAGGTGGTTTGCTTCTGAATAACTCCTAAGTGTTAGCACTGCATGAGCATAAACATTTTGGCCAGATGTCCCATAAGTACATAGTATCCCTAGGCACTGGACATTATAAGAGACATGTGAGAGATACCATGATATACATAAGTTTGAAAACCAAACTGTCTAATGTTACAAACTGCTATAGATATGGAAGTCCATATAGATCTTGATGTTTTATTACTTCCTGGTATCTATTGTAGATTTAGTCCTATAATGTGTGAAAACATACCTCTAGATGAAAGTCAAAATGAAAAGCTGAAGTTGAAAGGGTTGAGGTACCTAAAAAAATTTTTTTTTAAAAAAAGAAAAGAAAAAGATGGCAGAGGAGTAGAGGACCTTCTTTTAACCAATCCCCTGAATTGTGCTGGATATCTACCAGACCATTCTGAACACCCATGAAATCAGCTTGTGATATAAGAAGATATATCTGGATCTCTACAGAATATTTTAGGTGGTTGGTCTTGAGGTAGGAAGCAGGGATTCATGATTCTGCGGGCATACATCAGAAGACAAATGGAAGGGGGAGGGAGCCTCTGGGATCCTGTGCCACTGGAGCACAAAAGCCTCCCATACTGGGGACTGGGCACAGACTTGCAGACTGGTAGCAGTGAGGAAAGGACTTTAGGGCAGCACCCTAGACTGAAACCTGGAGCTGCAGGGACACAATTGGGAACTGGGGGCGGCTGGAGGTTTTAGAAGCACAAAGGACAGAGACATGCCTGGACCTGGAAGCAAGAGCTCAGAGAGCTGCTGTGGGGCTCACAACCAGGATGCTGTGGTTTTGGGCAGCACAGACAGAAGTGGAGACAGTGTGGTCTGGAGAGCTCACTGAGGGCCAGACTGCAATCTCTCTGTTCTGAGACAGAGGTTTGGATACAGACACTTCTGCTCTGACTCTCAGGGTTGGGGATGCAGAAAGCTGCCAGAGAAAGCCACCAGAGAACAAAAGTCCCCCAAACCTGGTTTTCACTGAGCCCATTCCCACTCCACAGGGGGCAGAACAATTCTACCCAAAGAGGGTTACCTGAGTAACAGTGTGGCAGTCCCCTCCCCTAGAACACAGGCTGGAAGAACAAGAGGCTGACAACACTAAGGTCTCTATAAAACAAGTGCATCTTCCTTGGCTTGTGGTCAATAATTTGGACTCTGTACAATCCTTCAACCACCCCTCAACAGAATGACTAAGAAAAGGAAACTCCAACATAGGAAAGACCAGAGACTATGATCTTTGTCACAGAAATAATGGATATA